TAAATTAATAATTTATTTAATTAAATTAATAAAAGACATATTAAATTCATGAAAGAAAAATCCATCAAGGGCTATTAATTTCTGTCTTGTTTTGGAAGAAGAGAGAATATGCAGGGAAGAAATAGCATTATGTACGTGTGTTTGTTTTATTGCTCTTTTTTGGCTGGTCATTGGCTGGTGAAGTGTATGGCTGATCTTTGATATAATTTAGTATAGTGGTTCTTAGGCAATACATGCATATGCCTGCTTGCACACAGCGTATCTGATTCTGGTTGTGCTTTTCAGTTTGACAAGAAAAGTACAGCACAGCTAAGTAACTGGGCCCTAGTGTCAGTCAGCATGATCCAATCCTGCAAGGGGATATTTTTTAGAAGTTGCAGTTTGGAATAGTTTAGACAAGGCTGTTGATTTGGCATGGTTTTAAATTTTAAGGTTGATGTTAGAGGTTTCTCTAAACCTTCGTGTGATTTATTTATACTCTGAGGGAAAACTCTGGCCTGTATGGAAGACATGAAACTGCTACGTTGTCCTGAATTATTTGATATGGTTTTTGTCCCCCCCAAAACAAGTGACTTGTTTAATTCTTTTTTTCTTACAGGTAGTCCATCCTTTCTATGCATATTGGCAGAGTTTCTGTACTCAGAAAAACTTTGCTTGGAAGGAAGAATATGACACACGACAAGCCTCAAACCGCTGGGAGAAACGAGCTATGGAAAAAGAGAACAAGAAAACAAGAGATAAAGCAAGGAAAGAGAGGAATGAACTGGTCCGTCAGCTAGTAGCCTTTATTCGTAAAAGGGATAAAAGAGTACAGGCTCACAGAAAACTTGTAGAAGAACAAAATGCAGAAAAAGCTAGGAAAGCAGAGGAATTTCGGAGGCAGCAGAAGCTCAAACAAGCCAAGTATGTAAATGTGGAACAAATCTTTTCTTTTAAGCTTGGAGAAACTATCCATGAGGATACCATGTAGAGTTGGATTCTAATAGTAGCTCCACTTGCTCTTTTAAACATCCCTGAAAATGTTACGCATTAGTTTTGGTCTTAAGTCTGAGCTTTTTAAAACCTGAGTGTCTCTTCATTGCACTGACAGTAGAGATCTAAGATAACCAGGGGATAGTTACGTATGTGCTGCAGGTAACTGGCTGTAGTAGCACAGAATCCAGTGTGCTTTTACTTACCTGGGGAAGTAAGATTTAATTGTTATCATTGGTTCCTTTAAAGAAAAAAGAATGTATGTTTTGGAATGAGGGAGAACAGGACTATGACAACCTGGGATTAGATCAGCTTCATCTGCCTTGGAACTGTACCTGCTAAAAAGAAAGTAGGAAAAATGAACTTAGTTTTGCTTTTCCTTTTAACTCTTCAGAAAGGATCTTTTCATTGGACTAAATGCATTTTTTTTTTTTTGATGCTTTTGTTTTTCCCAAAATTAAGTAAGAGGAGGAGGCAATCTCCTGAGTGTAAGCACAATTTATTCTTCCAACTAGAAGAGCTTTTTGCCTGCAAATGGGAGAAAGGAGCTTAAATTCTTAAGAGTGCACTTGCATAATAACTGCATATTGATTAAAATTATATAATAATAAAAAAAATATGGAATATATTATGTACACTTTTTTTTTTTCCCCTAAAGGGAGAATGAAGCAGAGTTATGCATTTACTGACAAATGGCTTGATAATTCTGAGTCCAGGAGCCAGCTGGAGCAAAATTCAGCTGTACTGTACTGATAGATAACTTGGGCCATACTTAGATTTGGAAAACTGAGATGGTTATGTTCCCACAGCACAAGGTCAAGCAGTAATGTGCTTGTGGCTTTTGTGGTCCTGTACTGTTTGCAGGTTTGGATCTTGCAGCACATAAAAGCAGCTGTACTGCTTTGAGGATTGAGATGACTTTCCTGCTGTCAGCTTGATACTGACCATGCTGCATAGCATTTCCTGCGTGAAATTCAAGCAGGACCCACCTATGTTAATACCTCTTTACTTGCAGCGTAGATCTGCCCATTGATGTCACAAATTAACTGCTCAGATTTCCAGGCCCTACAGACAATTGTTTGCTCCATCATAATATGTTCAGGACTTTCCTACTAATATACTGTAGAAGAACAAGTTATCTTTTAAATAATACTGTTTCTGTAATTCCCATCTCATGGACACAATGTAGAAGTTACTGTATTATTCTGCTTAAAGGCTCGCTGAGCAGTATAAAGAGCAGAGCTGGATAACTATGTCAGATCTGGAGAGAGAGTTGCAAGAGATGGAGGCACAATATGAAAAGGAATTTGGAGATGGATCAGATGGTGAGGATGAATTAGAAGAACAGGAAACAAAAGACATTGAAGGTATGGGGTGTGAGGGGGTGACCTGTAGCAAGTCGTCAGCCTGAGTGTTGGCTCACTGCACTTAAAGCCCCAGATTCACAGTTCTGACTGTACTGCAGCTCCCTGCCTCCAGCTGAGGTGTGCCAGGCTAGAGTCTGGCCCTCTCTGGTGCTTTCTGTTGAACATGAGAAGACATCAAGCTACAGCTGTTAATTTATGCTCATGTGTGATTTTGTGAGATGGTCTTGATCTGTCTGTGTGTCAGTAATACTGAATAAGTTGAATGTCAGTGTTGTGACTATTTTCTGGGGCTTTAAGAGCAGCTTACACAAAAATCACTCATCTGACTTTGTCTCTCTGATCCCCACTGATCTCTTCAGACAAACTGAATGATGAGACTGAAGAAGCTGAATTTGTTGATGGTCTGTACTGCCCTGCTTGTGACAAATTGTTAAAAACTGAGAAAGCGTAAGTGCTTGCGGTTGGGGATTTGGGGTTGGGGGTGTTGCATTTTAAGACTTTTTAACTTCACATAATGGTCAGTGTTGTCTTTCCAGTAGAGACATTGTCAGGGCAGAATTTTCCATACTTAGTAGTGATGGATAATGGGCCTGTTGTTAATTTATACGTAAATATAACAATGTTTGCTCCGAGCTACCTGCAGTAACGATCTGCTGGTCTTCACAGCATGAAGAATCATGAGAAATCAAAGAAGCATCGAGAGATGGTAGCACTGTTACGACAGCAACTGGAAGAAGAAGAAGGGAAATTTCCTGTGTCTTTGGATGATGCAAATGGAATGCATACCAAAGAGGAGGAAGAAACAGAAGACATGCCCAAACAGAAGTACTTTAAATTGGTTTTAATTTTATCATGACTAATGATTGAAAAAGTCTTGGAAGCCCTCAGATGGAGCTTCTGATGATTTATAGTTGTGTTGAAACAGCATTATGCAATTTAAAATATTTCTTAGCATCAGAGTTCCAGTAAAATGCATGCATTAATGTGACGGCGTTCAAATGTTGTAGGATAATAGTCTCATATTTTCTCTGCTTCTTAAAGTTACATGTTAAGGAAAAGTAGTGGTTCTTATTTTTCAAATAGGGGAACTTGCGCAGGGCCAGTGTTTATTGATTTGGTACTTTTTGGGTGCTGGCATACGTAGAAAATGAGTGTGTATCACGGTTTAACCCTGGCTGGCAATTAAGCACCATGTAGCCACTTGCTCACCCTTTGCCCCCCGGTGGGATGGGGGAGAGAATTGGAAGGGTAAAAGTAAGAAAACTCATGGGTTGAGATAAGAACAGTTTAATAATGGAAATAATAATAATAATAATTTAAAAAATGGTGAAAGGAAAACAACAAGAAGAGGAACAAGACGTAGGAAAAAACAAGTGATGCAAATGCTCACCACCTGCTGACTGATGCCCAGCTTGTCCCTGAGCAGCGATTGCTTTGGCCAGTTTGGATCAACTGTCTTGGCTGTGCCACCTCCCAGCTTCTTGTGCTCCTGGCAGAGCATGGGAAGCTGAAAAACTCCTTGACTAGTACCGTGTCGGTACTAGTACACACGCTACACTAGTAGCATCAGTACTATTTAGCAACAACTAAAACATCAGTGTTATCAACGTTATTCTCATCCTGAATCCAAACCACAGCACTATGCCAGCTACTAGAAAGAAAATTAACTCTGTCCAAGCTGAAATCAGGACAGTGTCCTTAAAATCAGAATTGATGACGTAAATTGCACAACTTCATTTTTTAAATGGCCAAATCATAATACCAACTGTCTCACTAGTATCTTCACGATCAGTGTTTTACTAAATGAAATCGGTAGTTTAGCAGAACTGTTGTTTGTATTTCAGGCATGAGTAATTTTCTGTTTGTGGCTACCTTCTCCCTAATATCACATTAAGAGGATAAGCAAAAATATAACTTGTCACCTTTTTAGAAGTGGTACTTGTTTGTTTTTTTTTATTTTCTTGAAAAGAGGTAATGTTAAATTCTTATCTTTACAGACTCTCAAAGAAGCAGAGGAAGAAACAGAAAACAATGATGGTATGTAAAAGATAAAGATATTCAGGGAACTTTACAAGCCAGTTTTGTTATCTCCTAACTTAACTTTTTTTTGTTCTGAAAAATAAGAACAAACTTGAAATTCTACAGAACTTGAAGGCTCTTTCCAGATATTAATTCTTCTTTGACTGCAAAATAATTATTACACTTATGATCATATTTTATGATAGTAATCTCATAGACCTCACTTTGTTCTGTTTGTGCAGACCTAATAAATGTGGTGCTGGGTCTAAAAAGGCTACAGTCTGAAGTGTAAGGAAAACAGATGGAAACAGGCAGATAGGGAGAATGCAAGGAGTTGATCAGAAAGACCAGCAATGGCCTTAGTGCATTAGCAGCTCAGTTGTTTGGTGGTCGGTTTCTGCTTTGGTTGCTAGAGTTGGTATAATGTATTGTTTGTTAATCTCTAACTTGGGGAGTTGGGGAAAGTAACAGATTAGCATCCTACTGGCACTGTAGTTGTTGGAAAGAACACATCCATTCCACCTTTCACCTGAATTGTAAACATGAGTAACGCCAGTCTGTTGTACTCCAGGATCTGAGTCTGTGCATGACATGACAGATCTGTGCTGACAGCAGTGGGGTGGAATTCAATTACTGCAAGCTGTTTCAGGCTTGAGTGGCAGGAGTGCCACAGTGAGCAAACTCTTCTGTCTGCCTTCCTCAAGCTTGATCCTTTTCAAGTCTTACCTCTTCTGTCTTTTCCCAGATGGTTGTGTCTTCCCCCAGCCTAACCCCCTCTAGTCTCCTATTACGTGTTTACTTTCACTGCCCTCTCCCACACCATCATTATCTCTCATCCTCAAGAAACTCCCCTGAGACTTTCAAGCAACTGAATTTTTCTTGCTTCTCTTTGGCTGGTATTGCATAGTCCAAGTCAGTATTGGCTTGACCTTGTTTCTGTGCAGGCTGTCAGGCTCCTGTTCAACTCTTAGCCCCCTCAGTTTGAAATCAGAAGGTCTTGCCCTCAGTGTATAGGTTGCATATAGGCACTGTCTCTCTCTTCCATCAGTTTGGTCACAAGGTCTTCTGCAGCTCAGACAGTAGGTGCCACTCTTGCATAGCATGAGCTGGAATCTTGTGCAGTGAGATTCTTCTGGAAGCATAACCTCCATCCTCTACCAAGCTTTACGGAGTGCAGGGAATTGCTATGGTTTTTGTTTTCTTTTCCTGAAGATAGGTAGATAGATTAGCCAAGTTTTTTCAGTAGCTGGGACTCTGTGAAAGATACTAGAGGTTATAGAGTTGCATTAATGTAGTGTCAGGTTAAGTTAATTATCCTGCTTTTGGGAGCTGAGCTGTTTTGATTCAGACATGCTCAGGGGTTGATCTTTTGCTGAACTGCATGTATTGAGTGTGCCCTGTCTTCTGGTGCATGGAAAAGGCTGCCAGTGTTTTCTGATGTTGGGGACAGAAAATACAGTGCGTCTGTCTAGCTTCAGTCAGCTCAGTTATTCTCGCTTAAGTGTCCTAACACACGTCTGGCACAGAAAACTAGTCTAAATAATTAACATTTTGCAAAGTTATAAGCAAAGCCACTATCTTATAATGTGAAATGGTAGCCAGAACAGAATGACCCCTGTGTATAATTAAAAGCTACCTTCATTCTCCTCTTCTGTAGTTTTAGAGGCTGTTTTATTGGTGTTTCTTCCCTTCATCACAGGTGGCCTCATCTTTCAAAACAGGAGAACTAAGGTTTTACCTGTTACAATCTCACTGAAAGCACACAGTAAAATTAAGAGGGTCCATGGCTTTGTGTTCTCCCCAGCCACCCATTTTGAGGTAAATGAGGTATAATACTATAAACATTATCACTAATGAACTTGAAGTCGTTAACTTGCATTTCTTCTATTTGGACAGACTTACGAGGACTCTTTTGATAGAAGTGCTGATGAAGAAACAGTTGAACAAAAGGAGGTGCCCTATGTGGACAAGGACAGTGGCTCAGCAGAGGATTTGGTAAATGATGGCCAAAGATGTGCTGCGTCAGAGGACGCAAGTGCCGCAGAAGATGTTGGCCAAGCGGATGAAACAAAAACTGAAGTAAAAAGGTGCGCTGACATGCAATATTGCAGTTCCCGTGTTATTCTGTGTCATGTTTGATACTGTCAAACAAATCTAGATTTACTCACCAATGTGAACGGGGGACAACTGCACTAAATCAGAGTTGAATATGATACTAAACAAGGAGTTTTAGGATCTACTTTGGAAATGGCATTTGACTGCAGATCCCTGCCACATCACTTACCAGTAGTAGATTTATGATCTAGCCAAATCTTGAGATCGATGATTGATTGTTTAAGTTAAATTGCTTTATTTTTTTCCTGAGGCACTTGCATTGTGTTGTGTGAAGGAAGAAGAGGGGGAAACAGCAGAGACATTGATGATTGAAAACCATCAGAAGCTCTTAAATGTTGAATGTTCCTGTGCGCTGATCTTGGTTTCTCTTTGTTTATCAGCAGTACTAAGCCTAAAGGGAAAAAAGCCAAGGATGCAAAAAAATCTGCTAAGGCATCTTCAGAGCACCCAGCAACGGTATGTCAAATTACTTAGGCTGTGTAAAAGCTGCTGGTCATGTTATTACAAACAAGGTTGGTTGGTTCATGACCTCCAGTCTACAAATTTTGTTTCAGTTTTTTGCTTATTTTTTAATAATGCAGGTATTTCTATCCCTGTGATTTTATTAGAAGCTAGGAGACTGAAACATCTGCTCTTGTCCTTGCAGAGAAGAGCAGGACTAAATTTCAGTTCTGAGAGAGCTGCTAAAGCTCTATATCTGAGTCAGTTCAAAACAAACATACAACTGAAGACAGACCTGTTGTCATTAGGCAGATGACAGGCAGTACCATTTGCATCTTTCCCAATATTGATGCTTCCCAGAAAGAGCAAAATCTTGTAATAACTACAGCTAAGATGCATTAAATTCACTAAATCTCACAGCTGAAAGTAGTAAGTGAAGTCTTTTTTAGTCAGGTGAGATCAAAAGTATTCTTTATCTTGAATTACATTTGCAAGGCTTCTATTTGTGTTCTTGGTTCTACTTAGTACTCTTCAAAATGTCAAGAAGTCATATCTGTGATTTTTTTTAAGATACATAATTATTAATCAGTAATGGAATATCTGTGATAGAAACAAACAGCTTATTCACATTTCATTGCCTAAGAGAAACTGCATACAACAAATTGGTGTATTATATTTATTACATATTCCATACGAATGTGAAGCATTTTGTTTTTTCCCCTCATTGTAGAATGAAGTTCCCATCCACTGCGTAACCTGCAACTGTGCATTTCCATCCCGAAATAAACTGTTTGAACACCTAAAAGCCACAGGACATGCAAAAGCAACACAACCACCAGCTGTAAATGGAGCTGTAAACACCAGAAACAAAAAGGAGAAACGTAAAACCAGATAGAACTTTGTGACAGTGACAGTCTTCAGAATTGTACATGAAGACTCTCCCAAAACCGAAAGGTGCACACTGCCTGTGTTTGGAGTTAAAAAAGAAAAAAAGGAAGATACAACAAAAGGAACATCATTTTGTGGAGGAACATGTGCTTCCTTTTGGTTTTATCAGCCTTTCTTTAATGACAGGATTTGACCTACCATCTCAGCAGCTTTTACCTTGGGGGTGGAGGAAGAGTAATTCAAAGCTACTCACCTTGCATTTCTGTTGAAACTCGCAGATAAAGTACCCTCACAGAGGAAATAATTTATTATTTTAACACTTGTGTTGCTGCTTTTCTTTTGAGAGGGCTTAGCTCAGTGTGAGTATAGCCAATAGAGGGCCCTGTGCTGCTTTATCACCTATCAAGGATGAAACACCACCAAGACATGGAAAAACAAAGCCTTTTCTGCCATCCCCAAGGGCCCTTTCAAATTACTTAATTACATTAAACAGTTGACAGAAGGGAAAGAATAAGATGACAAAGCTGGTTAATCAGTTTTGACAGTTCCTGTTGGTTTTGTACATCTACCTGCATGCCAGGTGTTAGAAAAAGAAGTTGTGGAAAGGCCTTGCTGGAATAAGTGAAGGAAGAAATAAATGAGTGACATAAATTAATTTCTTCTGATTTCTAGTGAAAAAAAACCATGGGAATTGGTACTGTATCTCTGTTTAAATGCATAATCTACCTGATCTTGAGTAGTACCTAAAAAAAACCCACCCACAAACAAAAAAACAAACAAAAACAACAGGTGGGATAACAAACACCTGATTTTGGAGTGGAAGTGGATTTTACACAGGAGTTGTCAATGCAGTTGGAGAAGGCAGTGCTTGGCAAGGCCTGTAGTATGTTGTTTAGGAAACCCCTAGAGTACAATTTTCCAAAAGCACTGACCTTGCATTAACTAAGTTCCTCTTAAGTTTCAACTCATCTCACAAAATGGCAGAATACTCCCCTTCCCCAACAAGTTGACATGGTTACTTTTATTGGGTTAAGGAATTATTCAAATGTTAAAATCTGAATGAAAGTGAAATGATAAATGCCATTTTTTTTGTTGGAAACTGAAGGAGGTAATGAACTAAAACATTAAAAAAAAAGGGATTATGTAAGAAAGAAACATGGCATCTTATTTCACTAGCCTGAGTTTGCATCTTTGCTAAATGACTAATGGGTGTGCTGTGCAATCCCAAAAGCAGCAGGAGTAAAAGAAAAGCGTATTCTGGAGAGGATGATGACTGGATTAGACTCCCATGATAAAAATAATTACTGTAATTAGAAACTTTTTGACTCCTATGTGCACATGGATTCTTTTCATGCTCTAATTACAGTGTATCCTTACAGTAAGGTAAATGGTTTTAACTTTGTTCTGCTCAGGGTGGTTCTCAGCCAGAGATTGACTATGCTTATGTAAGTGAAATCTCGCAGACTTAGCCCTGCAGTATTACTTTTTGACTTAAATTTTATTTCTTATTTAAATAAAACCAAATACTTATATCATTTGCCTGTTTTACAAATACTTGTGTATATTGGGTATAAATGGCAAGGTTTTGGTAGCAGGGGTGGTAGCTGCAGCAGCAGTGACAGCTGTGGAAGGCAGTGGGGGACTGCCCTGCACTGGTCCTAGCCAGCTCCGCACTAGACCCACTGCGCACAAATGCTCAGCCATTCTGGAGTGTGTGGTGCTTCTGTGAAAACACATTTGAGGGCCACAACGCTGTGGAACAAAGGAGGCATTCCATGGCAGTGCTGGTACCACCCCCAAGAGGACTATGCGTGCTACAAAATCCAAACCGCATGTACTTCCCCAAAACAACTTTATTAATTTGCTGTCACTTTTTATGAAAATTATCAATTTTGTTATGATGCTCATAGATGAAAGATGAACACATGTCTGCCTCTTCATCTGATACCCAGTTGACCCAATTAGGGGGTTTTTATGCTAATGCTAGAACAGGTGTGGCTAATACATGACACCACTGTAGAACTTAACTCTATGTCTACAAAACAGATTAGGGCATATTCTTTATCAAACGCTGGATCTGTCAGACTGCTCTTACAATACTGAAAAAGTATTTCATCTTCAGACTATGATTTTCTTATCCAGTGTAGATTAGCGCAGAGTCTGGGTTTTCTCATGTAAGGAAACAAGTCTATTTTGCAGCTGCTCTTTCCATGTGTCTCTGTAAAGCAGAATGAAATACTTCCACAGCAAAGTCAACATCCTTTTTAGTAATGCACATAGGAGGTTTAATTCTAAAAGTCTGAAAAGAGGGGAAAAAAAAAAAAAAGAAATCCTTAGAATTGTATGGAAAGAATACAGTTTCTAGCAGCTCATCTAGGTCAGCACTCCCCTTCTGCCCCAAAAAAATCTAACCAGAAGTGTGAAAAATAGTATTATAGGAGAACAGCAGACCGAGGACCAAGGCTTCCGATAAATCCACTCTGAAGTGGTGCAATTTTGGACTTCACTGCATCCAACTCGCCACTCCACTCTTGTGACAAAGCAACTGCCTGCAAAAGAGTCCTGACTAGAGTAGATCATGTTTGCAGCTCTGTTATTCCAGACAGAGCTAGCATAAAACTTTAGATGGGTTTGCACTAAGAAAGAACAGACACGTAGCTGTGTTTTCCTTCCTGGCAGCTTTGCCACAGGGAAAAGCAGTATCTGTTAAGAGTGGCCCTTGCATTGTGTCAGCTGATCTGCTGTCACATTATAGGCTTTTTTAAAGGCTTCTAAGAGAATGTATTATCAAAGCATCGCTTCAGTTAGGGTGCTATAGCTTGAATGTATGTTCATCAGGAAGGGAATATATGCACAGTTTAACTTGTGAAGAACTTAGGTTCTTAAAATCCAAATGTTTGACGTATATTATAATACTGCCAAGAGTATTTAAGTTCTCTAAGAATCTTAAACTTCCAGTTTAAATTTTTCTGCCATCATATCCCAGGACTTTATGCAGCAAGAGCGGAATAATGGTCTTTCCCACCCACACCACCCAACTGATAAATGGGTAAACTCACAGATAAACAGCACTCTTGTGAGACAGAATTAGATTTTACTGCACTCTGAGCTGCAGCCTGCTAGTCAGTGACTTGTGCAAGAACCGACGAGGTGACAGATGCAGTGTCCTATTTATTTGAGCCATCCTTCATCCATCTCATACAGAAGCTGCTTTCTTTATGTCAGAGGGCTTCACTGACCTGAGCAGCCTTGAGGCAATTCTCTGCTATTAACTCACGTGCTCTAAGAAGCTGGTGACAGAGTGCCCAGCATGGTCCATCTTCAATTGGTGTGGGCTGATGCCCATTCAGATGCAATTCTCACTTTTGTGCTGCATTGCTGAACTTGCTATTAATGACTTTTTTTTTTTTTTTTTTTAAAATTACCATCCAGGTGGAATGCTACCAGCTCTCCAGAATGAAAGAACTAGCAAAACCAAACTTGTTCTGTGCCTACAGGTCAGGTGATAACCTGAACAGCAGCAAAGACTTAGCAGACCCAAATATTGCTGATTTCTTCTTATTTACACACATTATAGTACATTGCTTTTCTCTGGGAGGTTGCCCCTCTAAAGGAAAACTGCAAGCTTACAGCTAGTTGAGCATACTTGAAAAGAAACAAGTACCTCATGCCCAATTTGTAAATTACGCAAAATTAAACGTATACTCTTAGGAACTAGCTCTTTTTTCTAGTTTATTTACTAAACTGAAGTTAATTTAGCTTGAGGGAAATGGGATGCAGTGCATGAGGACAGAAAATAAGCTTTATGTATAACCAGAGGCTTAGTACCTGACTGTAGAGTCCTCCTCTGCCGATCAGAACACCCATGTCTTTACAGTCCTCCCAGATCTGATTGATTTCTTCAGCTGGAAGAGGGTGGCGACTGTCCTAAGGAAAGTGAACATTAAACTTCACTTAGATATTGTAAATCAGTTCTATGAAAAAGATGTATATTCCAGTCTCTCCAATAAATCCCACCCCCATCTCTGGCTGAAAACATTAAATGCATAAGTTATCTGCTTTCTAAGATAAGTTTATGCAATTAAGGTACACAAGTCACTGTTTACTCAAAGCTTGTGAAATACTTGAAATGCTGGAATGTTCTGGCTCACTTTTAGCCAGAGCACTGTTTTCTCACTTCACTAGCTGTTTTTTTAACAGAAAAGCGTCCTATTATTTCAACAGAAACAAAATGGGATAAAACTTTCAATGGCACCGTAAACCAAAAGGAATGAAGTAAATCACTAACCTTATCTGTCACCATTTCTACCCCAATCATAAGTCCCTTGCCACGGACATCTCCAACAATCTCGAATTTATCCCGTAGTTTAGCCAGCTCCAGTAGCATGTATGTTCCTACATCCTCACTGTTTTTTTGTAGACCATCTTCTTCAATAGCCTGCTTAAAATGATGTAAAGTGACAGTTTTCCAGGAAAAGCTTCCAATACAGTTGGTTAATCCCTATTTAGCTTGATGACGCATTATGTTTATCTCACATTCTTGCAGACTATGTTACTTCACTACTATGGTCCTTACGTTTTTCTTCTCTTGGAATCCTCTAATGGCATCAGAGTACAATTGAACATAGTATTTTGATGTTGCTGTGGCATTTTTCACATTTATTTATTATTCCATAAATTTAATCCAGTAATTGTTGCTCACATGTAGTCAAAACTGAAAAATACCTGACCAGTAGGATTATTTTCAAAATCTTACCAGAAATATTTTAATTCTTTCTCCAGTATCATAAGAAGACTATAATTTGACAAGGCATACCTATGTACTAGGCAGCCTTTTAGGAAACAACTGGAGTGTTTTACTTGGATTCATCAACACCATGCTTTTTAATCACAATCTTTTTTTTGTTCCTTACTCTGCTCTCCTTAATGAAAGTTCTGACATGCAGCCAGCTATCAGCACTGACACACACAAACCGTTTTATGAACTTAATATTTGCGTTAAGAAAA